AGCCTGGGGAGGCTGGGGTGTGTGTGAGAGATGTATGTATGAGTGTATGTGTATATACCTGTGGATGTGTGTGTTGTATGTGTGTAATCAGAAGAAGGACCATCACATACACTACTCTGTATTCCCCTCCAAGCGGCTGCAATGCTATGGGTGTAAGGACATTTTCAGTTATCCACAGGGACCAGGCCCGCACTGTAGGGAGGGTGCAGCCAATTCTTTGAGAAAGCCACAGTCATTTCCTTGCCTCCTGATGCTCTCAGATACCTCAGCAGCTCGGATGTGTACTGCAAAGAGTTCAGACTATGACGTCCAGGAGTCACGCAGGGACTGCCCCAGAGACTTCTGCTTAGAACTCGTGGCCACAGCCTTTCGTACCGGTGGCCCAGAGCAGAAATGTTTTCTTTCTTGCTATTTGTGGATATGGAATATTTTAAACAACCTACATACTTCACAGCTTGGAAGCGGTTAAATGAGTTTTGGTTCGGCTTACGATTAACTACAGGGTGTTAAGAACAAATCACCAATCCTACCTTTCCACTGTCAACATACGGCGAAACAAGGAAGAAAACCCTGAAGTCGAGGATTCTCTGGGTGGAGTGTGGCCTGAGAATATGACAAAATGCTAGCACTTAAGGCTACAAAGCTAGCATTACTTTTCAATTTCCCATTTCTAATACACCAAAAATGCCATTTTTATTGTGAACATTTTAGAAATCTTGGTCTCTCCCATCAACGGTAATAACATAAATCTGTGTAGAGGAATGAAAGCAAAATAATATATTTAGGTGATAGGATCACATCTGTGTATGTATGTATGTATGTATATGTATGTATGCTTTTTGAGACAGGGCTTCTCTGTGTAACATTCCTGGCTGTCCTGGAACTTGCTTTGTAGATCAGGCATGTCACAAAATTGTAGAGAATTGCCTCTGCCTCCCAAGTGCTGGGATTAAAAATGTGTGCCACTATCATCCGGTCGTAATTTATTTTTACATATTAGTTTATTTTGTTTCTAGAAACAGAGTATTAGTATGTATCCCCAGGCTTGTGTTGAACTATGTATCCCAGGCTGGCCTCAAACTCACAGTGGTCCTCCTGCCTCAGCCTCAGAATAATGGAATTGCAAGTGTTTGCTGCCATGCCTGGCTTCTTCCTTGAGTTTATAGGTTATGAATTTTTAACTTTTTTGTTTTTATTTTATATATATTTTTTCCCTTTCTCTCCCCTCTCCGTCCACCATCTCCCATGGTCTTCATGCTAGTTTCTGAATTTTAAGTACTTTCTGTGTTTCGTTTTTATGCTGGGACGTTCATATTTAAGATGGTTTTAGAAATACGGTGGAGAGGGAAAGAGATCCACTGCTAAGCAATCACTGTTTCAGGTTCCCCTTGGCCCATTCCTGCCATGACTGGGTTGAACCTTATTTCATGAGCTTCCCAAATGAGCTGGTCAGCTGGTCCTGGGGAATGGTGTGAGGGTGAGAAATGCTAAAGCAGACACAATGCCAGCTCATAAGTAGAGTCAGCTATGGTCTACCTGGGGAGGCAGACTCTTCACCATCTGAGTTATGGGTTTCACCCTAATGGTTCTCAAAAGTAATAATAACAAAGTCTGTGACTTCTAAGTCACCCCAATTACAGAGAGGGTCCCCTCCTTTCCTGCTCCCTTTAGCTTCCTTTCTGTCAATGCAGGCTGTCTCTTACTGTCATTGTGAGGGTTAAATGATGCCTGTTTGTAAAGTGTTGAGCAAATCCATCCTCAGTGTGAGTCATAGGGCCAGCATCGTGTTAAAGGTGTCTATGACCAACCCTCAGCAAACCAGGGCCCAGACATGCAGAGCTGGTCTTTGATTCACGGAAGAGCTGGTGATTCTGTTCCCAGCAGGCACTTTATTTGCCTTCTGTGCTTAGCTGGAATGTGTTCTAAACCTTACCATATGGTGTTGCAGAAAGAATGGCCAATTTTCCATTCAACGATCACAGGATAAATTAATCTACTTCAAAGAACATGAGGGAAAGACAGAGTTTTCTCTTCATTCTGTATGTTGTGACTTTGTCTATATTTCTGCCGTGTTTTCTTGGTACAGAAAAGCCCTTCTGAAGCCCAAGGAGGTGGCACAGTCTTATATGACTTGTCCTCTCACTGTGGATGTGACGGAGGAGGAGACATTGCAGTACAGAAGGTCTTGACTGGAGATCAGAAAGAAGGGTTAGGAAGCGACTGCACACTGGGAACAGACCAGGGACCTCTAACAGAGCAAAGATTCTTGGGGTAGCTTTGGAAGTCCAGAAAACCACCCAGCAAGGGGGAGCTCAGAAATAAAATCAGAGGGGAAAATCTATTTATAGATAGCCACACGATTCCGTATCAATATTAGTGATTTGTTCTGTCCTTTGGGTCATTGACTTTTTAGAGCCCTACTTCAACTCCCATCCCATCTCATCCTGCTTCATGCTAAGCATTAGAGTGGAAACAGAAGCGTGCAGGGACCATTCTTGAATAAGGAAGCCATGGAGGAGAATGGATCACGGACCAAGACTGTACTTCAGAGAGGTGTGAGCTAGGGTAGTGTCTGATGAAGAGAGATGGGCAGGAAAGGTTACATGCTGTCCAGAGAAGCAGCAGCTTGAGCTGCGTCTTCAGGGGCAGTGCAAACTGTGACCCAGTCAGTAGTAGCTTCGAGAGCTGGGGGTGCTCTCAGCTTCTTTAGGAGTAAGGCAACGATGCATGAGAACCTGGGCTCTACCTAGATCACAAGTCAGTTCCAGGAGCTCTGAGGCAGAAGATGACTGTGCACTGGGACGGCCCCAAGGAGATCACATGTTATAGGCAAATGGGCCTACTGCAGTCGCAAGGGGCAGAGTCTCCCAAAGGGGTCTAAGTGCCCCCACACATGCAGCTGCAGGATGCTTGTGCATTCAGGAGCAGAGATTGCAGGGGACAATTTGGAGGTGCAGACCTTGACCCTATGCCTTCAGTTGGGAGGGACGGATTACATTAGTCTACATTGTTCTTTATCAGATAACTTTGGAGAAGTACACTGGATGCTAATGAGACTCATGCATGCAAGCATGCATTCATTCAGAATAGTTCTGTGCATCCCTTTCTGGTCAGTGCTGCTGAAATCTCTTTGGGGGCTGCACGAGCTATTGAGGGCTTTCTCTAACTTCAGGGACCCTCCAGCCAGGAGGAGGAAGAGGTGCAGACTGACTGGTCCCTCCGCGTTAACCGTGGGCTGTAACTGTATCTCCTTCTAGTACCTGGTGAACTTGGGAATCTCTCAGGAAAACTGCTGGCTCTTATCCAGGACTAACCATCTCTACTGCCTCTGATTATAGCCTAGAACTCAGCCCCTAGGTCCCCCTTCTCTAGTCACTGTATCTTTACTTTCAGGGAACTCCATCAGAGTTCTTTGGAGCCCAGACCGGTGCTTGGCATGTGCTGTCTTCTTGGCCCATGCCCCCTCGTTCAAGTTGCCTGTACTCTAATCTCGGATTAGCATTACTTCCATAGGAAGGCTTTCTCAATCTGTCTGACTAGACCAAGTCTTTGGGAGCCTCTCACTCCCTAACATCACTTATAGCTCTTATTCTAGTCACTGTTATTTTACATTTACTTATGCCATGACTATAATATGTCCATATCATCTCTTTTAATAATCAAGTTTATTGTAGTATAATCTATGTTTAAGAAACAGACTTGTTTCGATGAGCGCTAGCAAATCTTTACAGAGTTTACAGCTCGTGTAGCCATCACCATAATCAAATATGGAACATTCCATCTCCTCGAAAGGTCAGTGCCCCATCCTGGCCGTTCATGTGGTGCACACGACTCCAGTCCTTTAGATTGCTGAGCAATGCTGTTCTCGTTGGCTCCTGGGAGCCGCCCTTGGTTTCTTAGGCAACTTTATGCTTCTTTAGGGCAGGAGATACATTTCCCGGTATTTCATAGGGATGGCCTTTGATCTCACCCTGCTTCACGGAGTGACTGCTCCTGGACCCACACCCAACAGCTGTGCCAACACAGAGAGTGTGCTCTCCCACCCCTTGGCAGGTCATGGTTTTGGCCGGCAAAGCCTGGCTCCCTCTAGAATCACTGATGCCTCCCAGAGATACACAGAAGTTCCTGACTAGCCTTGGCAATGAAGCAGTATGACTGGCAAAAGCAGGCAAATCCTTCTATCTCTATGAACTTGGACATCCTTGTTCGTGGGTTGGAGACAATGTTGTTCTTACAGGGTCATAAAGTGAACCCAGGGGTAAGAAGGCCTGTGTTCTCTGTCCCTTTCTCTCTCTGGACCTTCAGTTTCTTTCTCTGTGAGATGATAATGGCTGAACTAGTAGTCCCCAAGGCGCCTTCACGGAACTGGAAAGGGGTCAATAGCCTTCCAGCACAGGAAAAACTGGGGTAAGAGTTTAGACAGTGGCCAGTTTCTCTGGCAATTCTTTTCCTGAATAAAGGAAGTCCACTTTGGTTTCTAGAATAGGTCTGTGGATTTTTTGATCACTGGGCTGATAGCTGATAGCTTAGCTATTCTGAAGCCCATTAGGGAATGTAATAGAGCTCTCGATTTCCACATGTGACCACTGGTCTTGTGAAGCATGTCCTCTGCTGGGAACTTATCCTTGATAAATGCATCAGAGGTTAACTGAGGGGCAGGGACACTGTTCCATTTGCAATCCAGTAGTTTAGTTAAAATCTCCTCCAGATAAGTCTTGTCCTCATTCATCCAGCCACAGAGGACATACGGGGCCTATTATGTGTCAAGTACATGAGATACGTTACCACCGTCATCTGCTAGGGGTAGCGAGCCTCATCTCGCTAGATGGGGAAATGGGCTTCTTCCACGTGACTTACCATGCGCCTTGTGACGAGCTCTGGGTGGGCAGAGGGGACACAGTGTGTGATGCTGTGTGACCAGGAGAGGAGGGCGACAGCTTCTGATCAAAATACAAAAATGTCAAAATGCCAGGAACTTACTACTCCTTTTAACTCTTTAGACTTTGTGAGCGGATGGCACCTGGAATGGTTTCCTACACCCTGGGATCCCCAGACTCTGCGGCACACTCAAGGAGAGAATGACAGCTGTTGTCAGAAACAAGCAACAAAGCTATTTCCAAATCGTTACCTCTAGTGCTCAGGATTCCCGGCAAGGAGAATGGATCTCTGGGATCAGCCGGTGAAGCTCACACCTTCTTCATTCAGCTCTTCAAATAGCACAGTGTGTGTTCTTTTTCTGCAATGTGTCCAAAGCCTAAAGCCAGCGGTGCTCACCAGTTGAGAACCACTGTCCTTGCAACGCGCAGATGATGGTACCCAGCTGCCTCATTGACCACAAGCCCCAAATTGCCCGGTTCAGCATCCTAGGGTCTGTGCCAGCCTGAGAATGGGCTGTGGCTTGGGAGATGTTTTGCACTGGCATCCAGGAGCCCAGTCGACCCCTGTGGATCACGGCTCCCCATTTCACAGTCTAAATCGAAGTGCCCCCTCTGCCATGTATAGACTGCAGCTTCCCCATGCCGGGTCAGAGATGTTGACACTGACTTGGAGAAGCCAACGTGCAAATCAAATGAAGACAAAGGAGAACCGAGGATGGGTGGAAGCAGATGGGAGAAAGGTGTGGAGGTGATAATGGAAGGCTCACTGAACTCATAGGGAGACGGGGCATGGCGGCGGGTGAGGGACAGGGGCCTGGGGTCAGCATGATTCTCCTCCTCATGAGTGTGTGATGTGGGACCCGGACATTGAGGTTTAGTTTTTCTATTTGTAAAGATGAAGACATGACTCGTTCTTCCACCAGGAGTCTATGTTTAGAGAGATGCGATGAGGTGCCATGTTAAGACACACTGCCTTGCTCAGAAGTGCTCAATAAAACGTATCTGTCATCATGGCGCCTATCATTGTCCACTGTTGGTCAAATAACCTTCCATTTTTCTAAAGGCTGAGTGTAGGAGACGGCATTACGATTTACAGGCAGAGAAATTGGGAAGAACAGCTGAGCCATGCCAGTGTGCCGCCCTTCCATTCTGCACCCTGTTGCCATCCACGAATGAGCTCTCAGCACTCACCAAAGAGTGGTGCCAAGGGCAGAAAGCAAGCTTTCCTAAGTCTCTGTTCCAGCCCAGCCCTTCCCAGCTTCTGAACAGCTGTGATGGTGTTTAAAACTTCAGCAAATGACCACTAGGGGGCGGTACAGACTTACCAAACCCAGTAAAGACCGGACTGAACTGGCTGCCAGGACAAGCCAGAAGCAGCTGGGCTCCTGGGCTGAGGTCTAGTAGGTTTCAAAGGCAGAGGGGCAGAAGGCACATTGAATTAAGACATGGGATCTGTCCTGATGTCCCCCTCCCCGCCATTCTCACGCTGTCTTGTACATGGGATGGACCAGGCTAACTGATATGAGGTCTCTCCCTCTAGTAATGGGGGCAGGACGGCCTGGGGCTGGAAGACAGCAGTGGTATACTGAGTGACCGCTAGCCAAGACTGGATTTCTAGGACCATTCGGGACTCAGTGGCACCCAGGGCATTTCTTACGGCTGTCTCAGCCCTTTTGATCTCTGCTCCCTGTATGGTTCTGGGTCCACTGATAGTCAGGCTTCTGGACCCTCCCCAGGTCTCTGAATCAGAAACGACGTCATTTTGGTCAATGGTCCAGAGGAGTTTTGAAGACTCTGCTTGTGGCAGAAGATCCTGAAGGGTGAGAAAGCGGAGAACATGAGTCTTTACTGATCATTTCCCTGCCAAGCCCTAAGCTTAGTGCCTCATAAATGCCAGCCAGTGTATTCCCCACCTCCATACTGTTTCTTACCTGTTCTTTATGGCAAGGGACTAGATAACATCCAGAGAGGTGGCCAAGGACATAGAGTAGCCAGTACTTGGGGTAGTCTCAGAACTCAGGGCTGTCTGGTTCTATAGCCCAAGAGCTTTCTCTCCCAGGAGACTAGCCTAGGGTTAAAAAGGCACCTGGCCCAGTGTCCAGCCCATGCTGTCTCTTGTTCTCAGACGTGGGTTCTGTCTGGGGTTCCTACTTCTATACGGAAGACTGAAATGCATTTTATTGTTCAACATCTGGAAGCACCAAGCATCTATTCTTGGCAACGGCTTCTTCCTAAAACAGCTCAGTCCTCCCAATCAGATCAAACGTCTGTGGTTCTTGAGCAGCGGGGGCTTTGAGCAGGAAGGAGGCTGGCAGCGGGGAGGAGGGCCTGGGGTTGATGCTCTTGGTGGATCCTATTTTTGAACCCCTTCTGCCTCTAGTTAGCAGGCTCCTCAGTTCTGCTCCTTTATGCTTGGATCGTTGCCACAATTTCACTGTGGGTCCAGTGGGCTCCTTCTCTGTCTGCCCTGGTCATTTGCAGCCATTCTGTGAAGTCCCTTGGAAGAAAGGGTTCAGGATGGAAAACGGGCAGAGCAAAAGCCAGTTGTCACTAAGAACGGCTGCTTGTTACAGCATTGCTTTTAGAGAATGGCTTTGGTTTTAGGTGGTCTGTGGCTCTGTCGCCGTGTTTCCCTAGTGAAGGGAGACTCTGGTCCTCTTCGTGAGGAGTGCAGGTAAGAACTAGGCCAGTCTTGGTTCTGTCTTCAGTGGTTCAGATCTACGTTCCCCTGTCATGGCTCCACATCCCAGCCCGTTTCATCCCGTCTGTAATCTGTCCATCTCAACTTCTTTAATATTCAAATTAGCTGTTTGAATGGCTACAAGTCCTAAGTTTCTTCCCAGACTCAATGACTCAGAATTTATGGGCAATTCTCCCCATAAGGTTTCTATGGGCTGAAGGATACCACTGCTCCTCTATGCTCTGCTTCTGCCACCTGAGATTTCAGTTTGTTTGTTCTGACAGGCTCTGCCCCCCCTTCCACAAAATACCCACTCCTTGCCACTGCCAACCCTCAGTCTATGAGGGGTGAGGACAAAAAGAGGCCACCCTGCCTCTTTCAGAAGACCAGATACGGGGTCTCTCCATCTTTTCATTGAAGATGGCAGTAGCCATACCTTTGTTGGATTGATTCCAGGAAGAAGAGGAGGAGAAACATTAATGACACTGGCTGTTCTACACAGAGGCAGCCCCTTGGGCTGTCCTACTGCCATTACACCAGACAGCTCTCACTTCCGGAGTCTTTCACACTAGGCGTCTGTACCCAGCTAGACAAACCCACCGCAGCGCTCTGCAGCAATGCACATTGAGCTAGGGTCTCGGAATACCCCAATTTGAGAATACATTTTCCTCTCTGTGCACCCCCAAGTTCACATCACATAACGACTCCTCTCTGGTTCCTGGTGCCAGGGAAATGGGAGGGTAGACAAGACCATCCACAGAGGTCATATGGCTGATTCACGGTCAACATAGCCCTAGCCCTGTGCACTACCTCTTCAGGTTCACTGAGTGCTATGTTGAGTCAACAAATCTCTGGCTCAAAAGAAAGAGTAAAGTTGTAAGCGGTGTTTTTCACCTTGATTAGGAACCACAATCAGGGGCAACGCAAGCTTGTAAGGATCTAGGCACACGGGCAGTGTGTGAAGCGATGGTGTGGTTGTCAAGGGGAGACTGGAAAGGTTGTACAGATTCATAGGGAAAGGGGCTGATGATAGCAGTCAGCTATGCAGCTCTATCCCGGATTCAGAAGCTCTGGATAATCATAAGGGCTTTGTGGTCCACTTGAAGACAACTGTGTTTGTAGCAGGCTGTCTTTTGGGCCACCAACCAGCTTCTAAATAAAGACACAGAGACTTATCATTAGTTATGAATGCTGCACCTTAGCTTAGGTGCCTTTCTTGCTAGCTTTTGCTAGCTCTTATAACTTCATTTAGCTTTCTTCTATTCATCTACGTTTTGCCTTGGAGCTTTTTACCTTTCTTTCATTCTGTATGTTCTACTTCATGTCTGCCTGTCTGGCAGCTGCCTGGCTGGCCCCGGTTGTCTCTCTCTCTCTTTCTTCCTCATTCTCTCTCCCTTCTTTCATGAGTCTAGATTCCTCCTCCTACTTATTCTCTCTGCCTGCCAGCCTGTATTCTACCGTCTAGCTATTGGCTGTTCAGCTTGTACTGACCAGGTGCCTTACACAGGCAAAGCAACACATCTTCACGTGGTTAAAAAAAAATGCAGTGCAAACGGATGTAACACCTTTACATTATTAAACAAAAGCAGCGTAAATAAATGGAACACATCTTTGCCTAGTTAGAGTAATATTCCACAACAACTCTTCATTTGGGAAAACGACACACAGAGAGCTATGAATAACTGGGAGCAGAGAGAACACGTTTGTAATCTCAGTATTCTGGAGCAGAGGTAGGAGGATCCTGAAGTCACAGCCTGGGATATAGGAAAAACTTCTCTCAAAACACACAGATAGAGGAGGTTGGGAGAGAGAGAGAGAGAGAGAGAGAGAGAGAGAGAGAGAGAGAGAGAGAGAGAGATTTCTTTCCCTCTACTCCTATGTGTGGACAAGCATGTTTCCACAACCCCAAAGAGAGCTTTGAGGAGATCCACACCAGTTGCTAACGTCCTTTCCATGGATGGGAACAAACAAGGGACACAAAGGGAATAAAGAAGATTAAAAAGTCTATTTTTAATAATTTCTGAACTGTTTGCTTTTTCCTAAATCACCTTTTTTTTGAATGAAATAAAGTTGTCAGAAGGCCACCTCACAGAAGTCTTCAGTGAATGAAATAAGGGACTGAATAAAGGCCAACGATCCTCCTATTTGCAAGCCACCAAGCCACGCTTTAGAGTTGAGATGTTTACATGTTCTGTATTCTCTACCAATATGCAAATATGCCTGCCTGGCGCTAATAGAGCCTGTATTGTCTCTGTTGTCAAGATCTTGAGCCAAGAGGTTTTCAGCCTCAGACCAAGGTCTCAGGTGCTCCCCCTTCCTCCCTCCCTCGCTCTCTTTCTCTCTCTCTGTGTAAGTGTATATGTGTGTATGTATGTGCGTGTATGCACTTTCACGGAGGGGAGAAGTGTTAGGTTAGATATCACTGAGCACCTGAAAACTTGCTGGGTATGTAAACACACACACACACATACACACACACACACATACACACACACACACATACACACACACATATACACACACACACATACACACACACACACATACACACACACACACACACACACACACACACACACACACACACACACTGGAGTTCAACAAATGTAGAAAGATTCCTGTGTTCCATCCCCACCTTCATAAACAAAGGCACCAAGATTCTGCCCTAAAATTACATGCACTGAGTGGAGCCAGAGGCAGATGCAGGCCGCCATACCCCAAGTCAAGGTAGGGAGGTGCTGAAGTTCTTCGCTCACACCAGGAAACGTCTGCTGGGAAATGGTGCTGTGGATCACAGTGGAAGCTACTCACTGGGGAGTCTCAGGGGCATCTTCACTCCCTCTGTGTGGAGCAGGATCAATGACAGATTTCAGCTCATCCCCATAAGGCCCTAGTAGCAGGAACCCTTATTAGTTCCTTTCACAGGTGAGGAAACTGAGCCACAAAGAAGCAGGTACCGTGTAGAAGGATATAAACTCAGCAGGCTGAAGGAAGAGGAGATTTGAACCCGGTCATGGCCCTGAAGAGGACAGCCACACATTGCAGTCACTCTAGCACTAGGACCCAGGTTTCCGAACGCCCTGCCCTTAACTGTTTACGTGACACCAGACTGATACCGGTGTACAAGCATTACTTAGGATTAGCAGCTCTATGTGGGAATTCTAGCTAGGATATTCAGTTTCTTCTCTCTCCTGATTTGTCGTGGCAGACTTTCCGTAGCTTCCGGGTCTGATTTTGACCATCTCTGGGTCATCTCAGGGCATGTGGGTCCCAGCAGGTTCTGAAACTTCCCACCACCCTCGACCCACAATCCAAGCCCTGTGCAGTCTGG